GCAAAAAGTTTGTTTTTAATTGCAGCACTTTTTAGACGTATTTTTAGCACTGCACACTTACGAAGTAACAAATGATTAGTAAAAAAAAAATGTGTATCTAAATGTCATTTTATAATGCACTGTGAATTAATTTGTTTTTACGAATAAGGTTATAAATAAATTGTTATTTATTGTATTTAAATTTTTTTGTGCAGTTGAATTTTTTCTTCCATAGTAGTAAGTAAGTAACTAAAATATTGAAGAAATTAAACCTTTGTGTATACATATATTTAAGTGTATGTATGGTTGTATTCATTTCACTAAATACATATTTACAAAATTCTACTCACACACACATATGCAAACAGTGCATACAAGTGAATACTTAAGTACGAGAATTCCCTTTCCGGCAAATACCCGCCCATTAAAGTGAAAGAAATTAATTTTATAATAAATATGGTGAGCACATTTAAAAAATAACAAATTGAAAAGTTGCACTGCAAAGAAAAAAAAAACGGATGCTGCATCAAAGTGAAAACATAAAAAAGCATCAATAAGAAAGTTAAACGAGAAAATGTAAAAATTATAACACATATTGACAAATAAAATACAACAAAAAAAAAAATTAAATAAAAGGAATTCCTTATTTTAATACAGAGATCAATAGCTGTTAAACAGTTAGGTTTTGTACATGGTGAAATTTTACTAGGTGAAGTAACTAGAGCGAGAAGAATGATTTGACACCATCTGATTCGAAAATTTGCCTTTATAAATTTCTAAAATTATTTTTATTTTTTTTACTTTGTTTTGAATTTAATTATAGTTTTGTGTAATGGCTGTAATCAATACTGCTGAGGGCACATTTTTAAGTCTTATCGGAACGTTCTTACTTATGAATTGATTTTAATATCATGCCTTCATTTCGTAGAAGTTTTCTCAATGAACCAAATATATTTTGTTAAATTTTTGGCGATTATACAGTTAAAAGATTCCAAAAATCTCTAAGAGAGTTTATAAGAAAATTGTCGCTAAGTTCTTGCAAGCCAAAATTTTCGATGCAAACGAGCCGTGGCTTCCCAAAACTTTTTGTAAACTATGCTGTTCCAATTTTAGTATACGTTCTGCTGAAGCAAGGAGGATGTGGCCAGAGACTACGCATATACACTCTCTACCTCCTTCGAAACTGCTCGGATTCATCAGAGCATTGGGACTGGACGATGTGTCGTGATGAGTTCCGAGGGCACAATAGACCTAAGGTCGCAGTGCGCAACCTCTAGCAATCTATCTATCTAAACTTTGCTGTGAAGTTTTGGCACGGACTTAGGTTCGGCTTGAAAACCTTTAACGTATTCGGAGAAAGTACGTATTCTAACATTTGTTTCCATCCGTGACCCATCAGTAGCAGAAGTTTCTAAGAACGTGAGCATTGACAGTGATTTCGAAGAAATAGCGTCTACAAAGCGAAAACCTATCTAGCACTATCTAAAGAATGTCCCGAGTATTGGCTGCAATATTAAAAGAAAAAAAGACGTTCTATCGCACAAGAGAGAAAAGCTTGCTACCATTTCTTCATTCAGAAAATTAAGCTGCCTTTAAATGAGGCGTTTATTTGACAGGCGATAATCGCATGCGAAAGTTGACTTGCTGTCTACTTTAAGGCAAGCGATTTTTGAATCACCATTTACACGAGCGATTTTTCTTGAACAAAAAAAAAACGACTTTAGCGGATGACAGAATAATCATTTTCCCCGTCAATGACATCAGCAAAAAAGTATTTTAAAATTTATTTAAAATTTGAACACAATTTTCTGTATAAATTATACAAAAAGGGATGTAAAGAACGCGGGAAGGGTTAAGTATCCAAAAGGTAGAAGTGGAGGCTACCAGTTACCTTTGCATAAGGCGTTTGAGCATAGCAAACATGCAGTAAGCTAAAGGGAATGAAATAGGTAATATATATATTAGTAAGAAATATATGAATAATTAAACGCTTTTCTACAGTTCTAAAAAATTTTAACGAACTCTTGTTCTGGGTTCTATGCAAGCCTCCACCATCCTGTCTACCTACTCCAGCACACTTCGAGGCCGACCATTGGAATTCATACAAGTGCGAAGTTGGGATTGTATTTCAATTAAATCATGGCATTCAGCTCATAGAAAAAAACAAAAAATTCTTAAAAAAAACACTCAAGAAATGAAAAAGACTCTTTTTCTATCAAAATTTCTTAAAACAATTTGCAGCAAAACAAATAGAGGCCGGTGTCACTATTTATGTAGCAAGAGGTCGCATATATCTCTGCGAATTTTGTAACCTATATACTTTTAAATGTTTTCCGATCAATTTATTTTCATTCGTAATTATGCTTAGCGGCTATTGATCTCTTTTTTAAAATGTGGGTAAGTAATTTTGAAAATACTTTATAGATTGTGTTTGAAAAAAAATAAATAAAAAATTATATTAAACCAATGAATAAATGTATGGACTATATATATGACTAATAACCGACTGAACTTTAAAATTAATTGTTAGATAAAGTTAAATTAAAACAAAGAGCTAAGTAACAAAGTGTGTGAGCTAATACAAATGCAGCTTAATTAATTATAAATCTTAAAAAAAAATTAAGAAAATGTATCAAAACTAATTCCATAAATATTAGAAGTTCAAAGAGAAAAAATAGGACAGCATATTCGGCATTCAAAAAAAAATGTTAAAAAAATTTTATTATTAGACAAAAAACAAATATAAATAGTCACTAATTCGCTAAACATAAACAAAAATAATAAATAACTCAAAAAAAAAAATGTTGTTGAGCACTAACAATGAATCAAAACCATAATAAATAATATTCTGAGCACTTACTCAAATTAAATCATTATTTCATGTGTGTTTTATGTGTATTTTCTTGCGCTCATCCACTCAGAGAGATTGTTACAGATAAATAATAAATTCTCGTACCAATATCATAAAAATAAAGAAATAAAAAAATATTATGTAACATATATAAGTAGTTAACAAAGATATTGGTGTATTGGCCTAGTACACGAAAGCACAAAAAATGTAAAAATTTAAAAATTATATATTAACAAAAAAAATATCAAAAAAATAATAAAATGCCTGTAAAAACAATAGCAAACCACCATTGCAAATGCATACATATGTATATGAGTTCCATTAGAAACAAAAACGATTGTATTTGCAAATATATACATACATATATACGCATGAATTAATAGTCTACAATTTAAAAATACAACAAAAAAACTAAGCAAACAAATAAAGATGATGAAAGAATAAACAATGTTTAAAAAGAAAACAAATGACATTTTTTTATTTTTTCTTTATAAAGTTAAATATTTACAGAAAGAACTTACTGTAAAATATATAGATGGGGCGGTAATGACTATGGTAATGGTAATGAAAACGGCGCTGATAACAGTAATTGTAACGGTACAATGCCGAAGGAACTTATAACTATAGATGGTATGATAATACCACTGCGAATGTTAATGGTTATGGTAATGGTAATGGTAATGGTAATGGCAATGGTATTAATTATGGTAATGTTAATCATTGTGGTAGTGGTAATAACAGATGCAATGATAATGGTAATGGTACTTCCAACGAGGATGATAACGTAAATAATAATGAAAAGGTGACGGGGATGGTAATGGTAATGTAATGATAGTGGTACTGGTAATGGTAGTGGTAATGCAGTGTAAATGGTAATGGTAATTATAATAATGATGGTAACGGTAATGGCAATGGTAACAGCAATGGTAGTGCTAATAGTAATGTAATGGTAGTGGTAGTGGTAATGGTAATAATGATCGGTTTGGTAATCGTGATGGTAATGGCAATGACAATGGTGCTGGTAATGGTAAAGGTGATGACAATGATAATGGAAAAGGTAGATATAATGGCAACTGCCATAGTTATGGTAATGTTATGGGCAGATGTAATGATAATGAGGATGGTAATGTAAATTATAATGGCAAAGCTGGTGGTAATGGACAAACCACAACAATGGTGGTAAATAAAACAAAATAAGTTTATATTATTCTTTTTTAAAATCATTTTATTTTACACATAAAATTTTTGAAAAGATTAACCGACAGTCGGGTTCACTTATTCGATTAAATTTTCAAATTACAATTTTTCGTGCTCCTAAACACCCGTAAAATTTAAAACTTTATATCAGTTACGCATTTTTTTATTTTTTTTTTTAAATAGTAAAACGCAAAACTAAGTTAAAACAGAAGCCCGGCAGACAGGCGGGTTTACTTATTCGATTAAATTTTTAAAATACAAGTTTTCGGCTCCTAAACACCCGTAAAATTTTAAATTTTATATCAGTTACGTAATTATAATTTTTTTTTTTAATCGTAAAACGCAAAATTAAGTGAAAATAAAAGCCCGGCACAAATTCTTTGTACAAATATTTCTTACAATAAAATTACCCTTATTGTAACTAAAAAAAAATATATATATTTTTACAAGCAAATTTAAAAATACTTTTACAATATTTACCAACTACATAATCGTGGGTAAGTGAATGGCTTTGTCAATAAACAAAATTAATTAAAATAATAAAACACAATAGAACACTGCATTAAACACTAAATTAAATAACTAAAAAGGATTTTCAAAGCCGAACAGTGCAAGTAATTTTTGAATATAAAAAAACGTACAACAAAAATTTTTATTTACATTGATTTTGATTTCAAAATAAAAAATTCGGTATAGAACAATCCTAGGGGTGAGAGCATAAAAATTCCGACTTTGCTTTTTCACATGCATTTTTGGACCACCCTAGTATACAAACATATTTACATTTTATTGACATTTCGTATTAAACTATTTAAAATTTACAATATTTTACATAAATACATTAACGGGTAGATACATACTAAAAAAATCCCAGCTTTAAAACTAAAATCACAAAAAAGCACTACCTACTTTATATGTACAAACATATTTACATAAAAATTATCGTTATTTTTTGATAGTTTTAATTCCGTTTAGCAACTGTTTACATACTAATGTATATATGTACAAAAGCATATAAGTTTATAAAAAACAATAAAATAGGTATTTTAGATTATCTCCGCACGCCTTGATACTCGCCATTATTTGCACTGCGTCCTTTGCCTGGAAAGCCTCGCGCATATGGTGGTTTGGCATTCGTAGTAACATAGTAATTTCCTCGAGCCCTAATTTGAATTTTGAAAACAAAAAAACTTGTTAAACAAAAATGTTGTTTTCATTGTTATCTCGATTTTATGAACAATGGATCTACATATCTGTGTTCGTATGGAAAAGTAGCTTATGTCGAAAGGCTGGCTTTAGTATAAATCGGCATTCGCAGTATACGATTGCGAATGACTCACTGGCGCTGAGCTGTTGTAGAACTTTTGGCAAATAAACGTGCAAGAACTAGTTCCGATACTAGCAAGTCAATATTCTTATTAAGTCTCATCAAAAAATTCCTTGCCGTTTAAAGAGTAAAGGGAATGCCGCATTATACTAAAGCCAGCCTTTCGACATAAGCTACTTTTCCATATGAACACAGATATATATGTATTGAAAATGAAAATTCAGCTAATAGCACGCAAGTGGACTTGAGGAGTTTTTGATTGCAATTCCGCAATGGCCACTAAAGACTGTCACTAGAAGGGAGAGATGCGTTTTGTTTACTCATGAAGAGTGCTATTTTCATATATGCTCAATAGCGAATTAAATATAATACGATCGATAGATATGCCAAGCACCCCACCCTGAAAAGTTTCGAACGTTTCATCCAAAATCTGAGGGCCATAATTGAAAATTGGCTATCGGGGTATACGCGCTCGTCATTGAATTGCATTTATTTGATTTGAGAGCATACAAGCCCTCGTCTGATTTACTGACATCTACCTCCGCTTGGAGAATAATACGGGAACTTTTACAAACCCTGTTATAGGCATTTAATCCTTCCGTGAAGGGAAGGTATGTGGTGAAGGATCCACCGGCATCCAGCATCGGTGTACATTATTTGGACTTGCATGAACAAGAAGGTCTTTATGATTCCGGCAGGCCCATATTTCGAAGTGATCTAATAGCATCCGACCGTTAGCGAAGTGTGCCACGGATTTCGGCTAAGGCTGCTCTTTCTACTATCTCCAATTTCTTTACCATATTGATCCTATATAATACGCCCTATCAGATGAGAACAACACACTTTGAGACCAGTTAAAAAACATTTACATAAGCTCAATAAACCACCGTCGGCTGTAGGTGGCAACGCTTGCCAATGATCAACCCCCTGTCTGGAAATAAAATCACTGATTCAATCTTTCCTCTAACTTTAACTTACAAAATACTAGCTCGTTGTCTACGATACGAAAGTCCAGATACTTCGCTCTGTCTGATGGCACAAGAGGAATGCCACCCAATTGGAAAAGGGCACACTTTTGCAAGGGTTTATATCTAGTGGGCAGTTATCAGCCGGGCTTATAAACAAGTTTGGACTAAGTTTATATAGGCTGCCTAATACCTAACTTCCCTCCAACAAAAAGTTCTACGTTGTTCGCCTCGGATGCATACGCAATTTTATGGGATTGTTCAATCCTCAAACAGCAGCGTAGTTAAGTCCTCTCTAGTATTTGAGTTCATTGAGAAACCTAAAGCTCTTAATGAACGCAATAAGATGTATTTGGCTGGTACAAAGGTAATAAATAGAAGAGAGCTACCTAGCGGCTAAGCCAGGAAGTCAGCCGTCTCAACTTCCACTCAGTTCAAAAGAGACCGCTGCACCTGTCACTTGAGTGTGGGGCCATTTCGAGAACGCAAGGAAGATTCTAGGCTCAATGCGGCCAAATAATGAACCCATACGATTCCTATCCACCCGCAAAATACTTTTGACTTTTTAAAAAGCTAAGAAAACTATTACGATGACTGGCAGAGAGAAGGATCTTCATACTGCCAGAGGACGCTAGCTAACAATAGCCCAACTCTAAGCTATATATTTGAACAGTGGGTCTTTAAGTGAGAGTTTCAGTAAGATATATCGAATTTTCTATTCAAGTGGGATATAGATGGAAAAATGATCCCGAATTCATGAGGAGCCAAGAATCCGACGAAATGTGGTCGGAATATTGTCTGGCAGTGATGGATAGGTTAAAGTAAAGTTGCCTTCCCCACACAAGGGGCGCAATGGGACAATTAAGTTATTGTGATTTTTGATGAATACCCTGAATGGATACCATTAATTTAGTCGACGAAACGCCCCAAGCCGATTGTGAAATTTCGAATGCGGCTTATTTCAATGACTGAGCGCTCGCAAAGGCCAGGTAGTCTAATAGAAAATGCTGATATAATTCCACCGCATCATCTTCATGACAGCTGATACAAAGGGATTTGGTAAGTTTATCAACCTCATCGCTTGAATATCACCACCAATAGCGACGCCTGAGGCTTTGCCAGCATAAGGAGATCCTTTTACCACCTCCAGTCCACCTCAGGTCAGAAGGATCTTGGAGTCGCTCGTATCCTAGTTATGCCCTAGCGCTCGCTGAGCTTACATGAGCCCCAACCGTTCAAGACTGAACCGCAGGAGGACCAAGACGTCCCCAGCTGCTCCGTACCCGGGTGCCTTTCCTATTAGAGTATATGCTGACCTCCATGACTGACACCCTGGAGAAGTGAGTCTACCGCTTCCTTGATGGCAGCTGTCTTAGCTTGAAATACACTGCAGAAGTCCGGAAGCCTGAATATAGTTCAAGTTTGGATCCTTCCACGAAGAAGTTCACTACTTCCTTGATCCAGTTACACTACCCTACCCAATCCTTCTTGAGGGAATATAGTTACAGAAGGAGCTAGCGACAGATATTTCAAAGGTGAAGTAATCTGCTTGTTCAGGGACGAAATCAAAGCCATCACGAACTACGTAGTGCTCAGTTTTCGAACCTGTTGACAACCTGGATTCCCTGAACCCAATGGCAGTTTTTGCTGCATGGCATTAAGTGCCAGTATAAACGTTGTTTTTTTGTTGTCCCACTAATGCCGATTAGTGCGGGTTGCATTGCATACCAAGAAACATTTTGAATTGTATTGGACATTCGGAAGCAATTTCACGCAAGTTTTCATAAACAGCTTTTTAGTGAAATACCCTCCTGGAGAGCAAACCGGGTGGAGGACGCCAAATCGATAAGAAAATTCTTAGTTATCCGCATTTACTCTGAAAACATATTTATTCACTTATGTGGCTTTCGTTTCCACCACTACTTACTCATGCGAAACGTGTTCACCCATCACCACATATTCCGAGTCCTTTGGATCACACCAACCTATCAGGTAGGTGAAAAGATTCGGACAAGGGCCAGCATAGAAACCACGCGTCGTCGTTATCGACTCAATGAAGTAAGGAGTGACCTTCGTATGGTCACAGGCCAGCGTTTCTGTAGGACAAAAAAAGTAAGTAAAGATTTAATGTCGCCTTCGAAGAGGGAGAACTCTAACAAAACTCACGAAATAGCGTCGGTGAACCCACACAGGCTGGCTGCCGCGTGCCACCATTCACGTAGAAGTCCGCATGTCCACTCGAGTGCCACTGACCCAAAATACCGGCGCCTGTGTGCAGCACATCGACAAAGTTAGCATCGCTCGAATCCAAATCGCGCGAGTTATTTGTGCCCGCATAGAAGAAAATCGTCGGATCCAAAGCGGTGATGCGTCCCAACTTACCTTCGCTCGGCTTCAAATAGTTCGCCATAAGTCCGGCAATATGCGCGCCCACGCTGTAACCGATCAAATGCAAATCATCCGGCTTTACGCCACGCGGATGACGCGCCAAATACTTGACCAACTGTGAAATGCATAGGCTGCCAAAGCGTGGAGCCCATTCCATTTGACTGAGGCAGGGCTCTTTCACCGCATCAGCATAGTCTACAATGATGATATTATAATCGCCTATGGTGAAGTAGGCTTCACGCAAATCTGGGCTGGGGCTATTGTTGCGGCCGCCACCGAAGCCGTGTATTATAATTTTGGTGGGATGCCGCGGATTGAAGTGGGTGTAGTAGAGCGCATTGTCGTCCAGCACATCGATGAATTCGGGATGCTCTTGAGTGCGGCGCGTATAGAGGTAGAATTGTATTTTCGGATGTGGGCAACGATATGGCTTTTCCAGACACGATTCGGTGACGTACACCTGATTGGTGTCGTTTTTGCGCTGCGCAACTAAAAATAAGAAATAGCGGGGTGATTAGTTAACGATTCAAGGGAATTGTAGTCTTGGAAATTTCCAAAAAAAAGGAGGTCATGAAAATTTATTTTATCAATAAAATTTGCACACTTTTCTCTTATCTAATCACTTTCACAAATTTCGTAACAACAATTGAATGTATGTACGTGGATATTTTTTTATGCTCAAAAATTTAAATGCATATATTTTCTTTAATTATGTTTGTATCGAATAACATACATATTTGTTAGCGTGTGGATCATAACAATTAAGTCCAAGTATTTACGTTAACCCCCCAACTGGTTTTATTTGCGTGGCGCCAAAACTTCCAGCCAGCATTTGTTGTTGTTGCACCACTAGCCGCCATTCATATTGTTGCCAGCAAAGTTTGGCGGAAGTAACAGATTCACACTCGCCAAACGACATTGCAATTGGCCGGTAAAGCATGCAACATGCCACAAGCAGCATGCCGCACGCCACTCAAGTTTACCGCGCAATCGGATTGCTTATATTAGTGTTGTAATAAAAAGTAAACGAAATGTGGTTACTTTTGACATAAATTTATTACAATTCATTCACTTCCAAATGCGGAAGCGTCAACTTTATTTACCATCAAATATACTGCAATGACTTTAATAAAGTTAGTTTGTTAGTTAACCTATGGTTCGGTTAGGTTAGATAGACGTGTATGGAAAGTTCCATACTTCCACTAGGGGGCATATCTTGTTGCTCCTTGTGAGCGTACCTTCTCATGAATACCAAAGAGAGCCGAAAGCATTTTGAAGGAACGAATCTGCTGGAAAGTAAATTGAGAAGCTAGAGGAGTTTCTCTTTCGCTACACATATCTGCTAGACTGGTAAAGAAGCATGTCGCCAATCTTTTAGACCACAGGCCCGGACAATAATACAGAGACAAAGGGCCTCATGCATAAAAGGTGAATTTAAGCTCAGTTTTTGCACTGTTGAATTGAGCTCAAACTCAATAACTTGTACTGTGCCTAGACATTTGTGGTTGACTGTATAAAGTATTAGTACCAGGTTGATAGACCTTTGCTCGGAGTGCACATCGACGGTACGTTGGCCAAACCTCCTATCGCAGAACTCACTATTACTTCGCATCTCGTAAAACTAATTTAAAAAAAGGGCTTACTAATACTACGATTCATTCTTAGTTAGCTAAAAAGTAGTTAATCTTCAGTAAAATTCAGTAAACAGTTATTAAAACTGATTTTCTGTTATTAATAGAGCGTTTTTGGTTAGAGAGTGTTATTTGACAGTGTTTTGAGATACGAGGTTTTGCCAAAGCCCCGTCGATATACTTTTTAAAGCTTTCAAGGTTTGGATATCAAATATTAGTCATTTGGATAGCTTTAAAAAAATATTTTGGAAATGAATAAAAAAAACTTAGATTTTGAAATTTAGGTGGCAACCCTATTTTTAAATACGCTGGAATGAATAGCACATATCTTGAGCGTATATGTACTGTGTATACATAAAAAAAAATGCTGATTGAAATTAACAAAATAAAAATTCGTACTAGGTACATATATACAGGCGTATATTATTGGATCGAAAATATCTTTGTCCAAAGTTCTTAACAACACCTTTCATTTGATATCTATTTTGCGATATTTTAGATAAATTGTGTAGAATCCCAAATAAGTGGCAATCTTACACTAATATCCTAAGGGATAACACTTAGTTATAGGGAAATCATTACTTAACCTTTTCTTGGTACCCTGGAACTGCATTCTTAGAATTTTTCTAAAAAAAACGGAATAAAAAGTTGCAAATTAGTATACAAATTTATTGAATTTTCCTAAGTTTTGCACAAAATTTGGAGATTTGATTTTTATGTTTTTTGGTGGAACCGTATTTTTATAAAAAATTATCGCAAATAAATAAGAATAAAAAACTTTGCATATATTGCGAAAAATTCACGGTGCCAATACTTGTGTTCGTCACTGTATTTACATTAGAACGTTCGTTATTTCAAATTTTTTTTTCTTTACATACAATTTTCCGGGCGGAAAATATGTATTTTGGTCTAAGAATAAGCTGGGCAAAATTTTATTCGAATTTGATAACTCTAAGTACTTGCGCGTTGCATTTGAAAATTTAGAAAACCATAAGCATTCAGGGAACAAATTTTTTAACAAAATAGGTGAAAATCGTGAAATCGAAATTATCGTTTTTTTTACAAATTGAGAAAACAGCATATTAAATTTTTTCCAAAAATATCCGGTTCTAATTCTTACATAGCAAAAAGCTCTCCACCAGATCAAAGGTCTTCAAAATCCCTATGAACTTGCTGTACAATGTTTTGCAATCAAATTATCAGTTTAAGAGTTATCTGCAAATTTATTAGTGAAATCACACACAAATTTTAAGTTCCATCGTTATTCTACTGTGAATTACACCTGAAAGCTGCACACTTTTTGTTCTTATTTTTATGTTATGTTAAAGCTTATTTAATGTGAAAGTATATAGATCCAAATCATTTTTCAAATCGATTTGAAAATAGAAAAGTTATAGCAAATTTAGTTAAAATTACTTGTAAGTTCCTGTATAATTATTTTAGTAGATAAAAATTAAGCTAATTTGACGACGGGTTTTGTTTGGCTATTTTTAGTGTATCTGACAAACAAGAAGAAGACACATTTTGTGTGCTCGCTTAATGTAATAAGATCACAAATATAGCAAAGCGAGGTGTACATATATTTATGGAACGGTTATAATAAATGTTTTTGTTGTTTTTTTTTCGAAAAACATTCAGCAATCCAAACATACATATAAAACATGTTAGTGCAATCAATGAATAACACTGGTCAACATGATAATTTTTCTCAGCTAGGGCAAGCCATTTTTGCAGCCAAAGTAAAAAAAAAATGTTTGATAAAATGTGTGAAACTTTTATGAAAATTTGTTCATTTGTATATTCGAGATTCAGATTCGTAATAAGCTATTTGTAATAACAGCTCCTTAATACTAAAAAAAACGCCGAGTAACAAGTTTCGAGCGAGTTCAATAAATTAAAAAAAAAATGGATTTTAGAAACATGACTAAATATTTGTAATCAGTGGCGTCAAAAACTAGTAGATACGAAGTGGTGCATAAATCCATTTACGCTAATCTGTTAAAATAGTTTTGTCCAACTAGATTCTCTTTCAGACCACTGTGCCACGTCAGTTTATTTTTTTTGAGGGACTTTCAATCTACACGATACGATAAATTCAAAATTGATGCAAAATTTTGAGTGCAATGTTGAATATCAATATGCACATTCAATAGTTTTTAGTTTTTTAGTTTAGTTACAGTTTTTTAATAACGTATTGAAAATGTCCTTTAAAATTTTTTTTTTCCTAAATTAATAAAGTTAAAAGAACATTTTCTATACCCTCTTGTTCTTGTGCACCAATTAATTAATTTACATTAAATTTTGCAGAATTTTATCTTTTATTTGATACTAATATTGTTATTCTACTCAGCACTGAATTTTTTGAATCGATCGTATACTTGATTTTGCAAATTTCTCAGAGAGATAAACAAAAATCATAGCTTTAAATTAGTTAGGATAAGTTATGTTCATACCGATAAGTGGAATATAGAATTCAATGCTATAGTATCGACGTTGCATTTACATATTTCTATGGCATTTGTTGATGCGTGGTTTCTTAATATCCATTTTTAGTACTTTTAAACTTGCTGTAAAATAAAAAGTCGTCTACCCAAGATGCAATTTAGAGGGCATTCAAGATGGCCGTTTTACGTACAACACCTTTAATTTTTGTATCATGCGTGTCCGCTACCGATGCAACGGATTTCTATATTTTAGTCCATTAAAAGATACGCGCATACATTCATACAGTTTTCAAGATTTTCCCACACCAGTAAAAAACTAGTTTTAATGCTTATGAATGTATAAAAGAGACGGCTATATTCGCCCTTTTCGATTTGACAACCAAATTCCAGGTAGGGAATCGAACAACATTCTCTTTAAACGCGCAGTTAGTCAACGACGTAGCGTAAACGTAGGTTGACGTACGTAGCAGCATATAAAATTTACTGTTGATAGAGAGAGAGAGAGAGAGAAGCAACGGCAACGTCGCCGCCATGCGGTGGTGAGTTTTCGTTCACACGCGAATCCCATAAGGTAGATCGTGTCTGCGTCTACCTACGTCGTTGACTGTTTGAGGTTTAAATCCGAAGCCTTGATTCAACCCGTAACGAGCTAAGCAGTTAGGTATAACAATGCGCGCTTTTGTTGTTCTCTGCTTTTAAACTTCATTTAAAAAAAATTTTCGGAATGCTAGCACGGATGACCTCAAACGAGCAACATTCTTTCGTTTTGTCTCAATGCCCAGCATACAATTTTTCAAATTTCTAAAGGGTACTTTCCATTAGCGATATGGAACAGGTAGTGGAATATAGTAGCCACATTATTCTTGCAAGGACAGGTATTTAAGGGCGATGCGATCGTGAGGAGGTAGTCAGTTTTAAATAGCGAGCAATCGAGTAAAGTTCGATGTGAGACAATTATTGAGCAGTAAAATATTTGACGAGTAATTTTTTGCCCTTTATTCAGTGATCGCAAGTAAGGATAATTAAGGAAGCCATCGTTAAGTTCTACTCTCGCAAAAGAATTGAGCAAGCTAGGTTTATCCACGTTCGGAAACAAAGCGGAATCGCAATCATGGTTACGAGAGGATATGGATACAGAAGGCACCGATGTGGGCGAATACGTATTGCGTCTAAAGGTATGGATATGAGCATATTAATGGCTGCAATGCCATCACAGATGGTACAGATTGAATACCAGCTGCAAGCGCAAGAAGCACGTATATCATCGCGGATAGAAGCACTGGAATCACGTATATTGCAGTTATCATCACAGATTTCTGCGCAGTTGGATGCACAGATGACGCAGCTCAAGGCGTATTCAGTCAGATATGACAAGCAACTGAATAAAAAGCTATATGAAATCGAAGAAAATTAT